CAGAAAATCAACAAAACCAAAGCTGATTCTTTGAAAGATAAAAATAGAGGCAATAAATTGATAACTGCCACAAACTGCCCAACCTAGTATGGGATTTCAAATGCATGCTCTTTCCACTACCTCAGTGCCTTAGTTTTGGCAATGAGTGAGGGATAGAACAATTAGGAAGAAGCCTGATTATGTACGGGAAATAGGGAAAAGAATATTATAGCAATGATTTCTTGGGACATAAGGTTGGTGGTGGAATATTAAGTAGCCAGAAACTGGCAAGAGGAGTGCAGAGTAGGGATGCTGGAAATACACAATTATATTTTTCATTTACGAAACCCTTTATCACCTACAAAAATGATTGTCTTTAAACTATGATTGTTTTCTTGTCCAAGGAAGCCACTGCGTTCACAGTTCACAGATCCTCAAATATTTCAGTTAATCCATATTTCTCTAATAACACATTTCACCAATGTCATCCTATTTTTGATGTCTACTATAATTCATTACTGTAATTTAGCCAGGAGGTATGTAATTTTCTCTGGATGGGTTAAGATTAAGATAACTGGCCAGGCGTGGGGGCTCATGCCTGTAATCTCAGCACTTTGGGAGGCTGAGGCAGGTGGATCACTTGAGGTCAGGAGTTCAAGACCAATATGGTGAAATATGGTGAAACCCTGACTCTACCAAAAAATACAAAAATTGACCAGGTGTGGTGGCACGTGTCTGTAATTCCAGCTACTTGGGAGGCTGAGGTGCAAGAAATTGCTTAAACCCAGGAGGCAGAGGCCACAGTTAGCAGAGATCACGCCACTGCACTCCAGCCTGGGCAACAGAGCTAGACTCCATCTCAAAAAAATAAAAAATAAAAATAATTGAAGCATTGCAATAGTACCTGGAGCTTAAATTTATCCATTATAATGCCAGCTGACTTTGGGTGCAAGTTCCTGACCAAATTTGTGTAACTGACTAAATGTCATGCTTATAGAACATTTGTTTATGCTCATGTATTTCATAATACATTGCAGATATAACTATATATTTCTCAATTTAAAAGGTTACAAATATGTAAGAGTAAATTGTCTCAAAACTATAATTCCAGACCCAGCAAAACTTCTGATTAAATATCAGGATAGACTAAAGACATTTTCAGAGGCCGGGCATGGTGGCTCACGCCTGTAATCCCAGCACTTTGGGAAGCCGAGGTGGGTGGATCACAAGGTCAGGAGATGGAGACCATCCTGTCTAACATGATGAACCACCGACTGTACTAAAAATACAAAAAAATTAGCGGGCCGTGGTGGTAGGCGCCTGTAGTCCCAGCTACTCGGGAGGATGAGGCAGGAGAATGGCATGAACCCGGGAGGCGGAGCTTGCAGTGAGCCAAGATCACGCTACTGCACTCGAGCCTGGGCAACAGATCAAGACTCCGTCTCAAAAAAAGAAAAAACAAAAAACAAAGGTCTCAAAAACTTTATTTCCCATGAGCCTTATTAGAAAGCTACTGAAGGATGTGCTCCAATTAAACAAGAAACCAACTTCCAAATGGAAAAACATAAAAACAGGTAAAACAATTCAAGAGATGCCAAGAATATCTCCAAGATACCTGAGCAGCTGGCTTAGTGAACCAATGTGCCTGCGTTGCAGATTAGACGGCTCCTTGAGAGTATTCTGCAAGATGAAAATGGTGTAAAGCCAGAAGCCTTTAAATGAATTCAGGAAATCAGACAAGTGCAGGGGACAGTTTGGGAACGAATTAAGAATAAGAACATGGAGCTCTTTCCTTTTGCAGCCATCACTGAAGTGGGAGCGGCCAAAATGAAGTTCAGTCCCTTTGTGACTTCTGACAGAAGCAAGAACCGCAAAAGGCATTTCAATGCACCTTCCCACAGTCACAGGAAGACTTTGTCTTCCTTTCTTTCCAAATTGCTGAGACAGAAGTACGACGTTTGATCCATGCCCATCCAATAGGATTATGAAGTTCAGGTTGTACGAGGACACTATAAAGGTCAGCAACTTGGGAAAGCAGTCCAGGTTACAGGAAGAAATACGTCATCTACACTGAACAGGTGCAGTGGGAAAAGGCTAATGGCACAACTGTCCATGTAGGCATTCACGCCAGTAAGGTAGTTATCACTAGGCTAAATCTGGACAAAGACTGCAAAAAGATCCTTGAAAAGAAAGTCAAATCTCGCCAAGTAGGAAAAGAAAAGGGCAAAACAAGAAAGAAACAATTGAGAAGATGCAGAAATAAAGTAATCTTGTATAGAAGCTTTGGTTAAAACTTTAAATGAAAAAAAAAAAAAGGTTAAGAACATGGAAAACAAAGCATACTGACAATGAGATTATTTACTACAGGGAACAGTTATAGAAAAAACAAAATGCCAATCACTGCACAATGCATGGCTGATAAATGAATGTTATTCAAATAGTCAAAATAAATGTGAGACCGTATTTTAAAATAAAAATGATAAATTCTATTTCAATGGCATTGAAATAAAATAAATATGATAAAATATTCTAAAACAAAAATGATAAATTCTATTAGAAGGGCCACTGGGTGAAGGCTGTTCCAAATTCTTATCTTCCAAAGTGGGACATAATACTTCAAACTAAAAAATCCAAAAGTATTATTAGAATGTGATTTGGTGACTATAAAGGAGCTGAAAAGTTCAGAGTGGCTGCTTCTGAACTTTTGCTGGCAGGAATGGTTATAAAGCAATATTTGTAAATCAAAAAAATTTTGTAAACAATAATTGAAAACTATAAGCCTAGATTTTTAAAAACTGTGCTTTTGGGCTGGGTGCAGTGGCTCACGTCTGTAATCCCAGCTCTTTGGGAGGCCGAGGTGGGCAGAACACCTGAGGTCAGGAGTTCAAGACCAGATTGGCCAACATGGTGAAACTGCGTCTCTACTAAAAACACAAAAATTAGCCAGGTGTGGTAGTAGGAGCCTATAATCCCAGCTACACTGGAGGCTGAGGCACGAGAATCGCTTGAACCCGGGAGGCAGAGGTTGCAGTGAGCCAAGATAGGGCCATTGCACTCAAGCCTAGGCAACAGAGCGAGACTCCATCTCAAAAAAGAAAGAAAGAAAGAAAAGAAAAGAAAAGAAAAGAAAAGAAAGAAAGAAAGAAAAGAAAAAAAAAGAAAAGAAAAAAAAAGAAAAGAAAAGAAAAGAAAAAAAAAGAAAGAAAGAAAGAGAAAGAAAGAAAGACGGATGATCAATGATCTAGCTTACACAGGAAGAAATATCGATGTCTCTATTTGCCCATGACATGACTACCTCTGCAGAAAATCCAATGGAATCTACATAAGAGCTCCTAGAAGTGAGTTTAGCAAGCTAATAGGAAATAAGATTAATGCACAAAAATCAATTTCTATTTTCTAGTAATGAACAATTAGAATTGAAATAATCAACATAAAAATATCAAATACTTAAGGACAAATCTGACAAAAGATGCTAAACACATGTACATTGAAAACTACACATTTCAGACAAGTTAATGACATAACAATTGATGGAACAGACTAGATTCATTGTCTCAGTTATATCTGCTAGCTGACGTGTTAAGATGTCAATTTTCTCCACATTAATCTAAAAAGATACAACATAATCCCATCAAAAGCTCACCAGTCTTTTTTGTTGACACAAGTTTTTCCAAATGTTACATGCGTGATCTATTGAATGATATTAATCTCTGAATTAACAGAATAAACCTAAGGAGGAAAACATGGAACTAAGTTAAGATGGATTCTGAGCCTAGAGATCAGTTCCCAAAGTGAAGTGAAGGACAGGAGCTGAACAGCACTAGAAGGTACTCTGTCCGGAGGGAACAGAAGAAGATTATCTACTGGTTATGTGTATACATGTGTGTGGTAGAGGAGGATGTTAAGAGTGCCATCTCATTTTCTTTCCTTTGTTTTTGAGATTGAGTTTCGCTCTTGTCGCCCAGGCTGGAGTGCAATGGCCCAATCTTGGCTCACTGCAACCTCCGCCTCCCGGGTTCAAAAGATTCTCCTGCCTCAGCCTCCTGAGTAGCTGGGATTACAGGCATGTGCCACTACGTGCGACAATTTTTTTTTTTTTTTTTGAGTCTTTCTCTGTCGCCCAGGCTGGAGTGCAATGGCGCAATCTCGGCTCACTGCAAACTCTGCCTCTGGGGTTCACACCATTCTCCTGCCTCAGCCTCCCGGCCGATGAATGCCTTTAATAAAGACTTAATCTTGGCCAGGCGCAGTGGCTCACGCCTGTAATCCCAGCACTTTGAGAGGCCGAGGCAGGTGGATCACCTGAGGTCGGGAGTTCGAAACCAGCCTGACCAACATGGAGAAACCACGTCTCTACTAAAAATTCAAAATTAGCCAGGCATGGTGGTGCATGCCTGTAATCCCAGCTACTCAGGAGGCCGAGGCAGGAGAATCACTTGAAGCCAGGAGGCAGAGGTTGCAGTGAGCCGAGATCGCACCACTACACTCCAGCCTGGGTGACAGAGCGAGACTCCATTTCAAAAAAAAACAAAAAACAAAAAACAAAAAAACAAAAAAACAAAACTTAATCTTAAAGGAAAAATATTTAGGCAACACAGAAAAAACATTATTGGGCTTCTATTGGCAATTACAGGAGTGATAGTTTTCTTATATAATACATTCCTTCAGTAATATATTTTTCAAGTATTTTGTCTTAGAATTTCTAAGGTAGTTTGTCATTGACCCCGTAATTTTTTTTTTTTTTTCTTGAGAGGGAGTTTCGCTCTTGTTGCCCAGGCTACAGGCTAGAGTGCAATGGTGCAATCTAGGCTCACTGCAACCTCCGCCTCCCGGGTTCAAGTGATTCTCCTGCCTCAGCCTCCCGAGTAGCTGGCATTACAGGCATGCGCTACCACGCCCAGCTAATGTAGTATTTTTAGTAGAGACGGGATTTTTCCATATTGATCAGGCTGGTCTTGAACTCCCAACCACAGGTGATCTGCGTGCCTCGGCCTTTCAAAGTGCTGGGATTACAGCCTTGAGCTACCACGCCTGGCCGACTCCATAATTTATTATAAAGTAGGTCCTATAATCACATATTTTTAGAAGTTGCTGAAACTGAGATATAAACGATTCTGTTTTTTTGGTGGGGAAAACTGGACAAATTACAGAATGGCCAAAACTAGATTCACTGGCTCAGTTATGTCTAATAGTTGAAACAAAATGACAGTCTTTTAACAGTTCTTCATTCAGAATCTGTTACTGTAGAAATTTTAAGAGGTCTTGAGTCAGTTCCAGTATAAAAATAAGGCCAAAGTGCTCCTGTAAAATCATCATTAAAAGTATAGAGAAGAGATCTATCATTCAAATTATAAAAGGAAACGTCATTCATTTCATAGTCTAAAAAAATGCCAATCTTACTAGGTGTTACTTTGGGCAGCAGAATAATTTCCTTATGGCCCAATACAATATAATTATTCTGACTAGATCGTCAAATTCCCCATAGTCCATCCTGTACTAAAATTGGTTGACTCTTCCTCCTTCTGGGAAGAGAGTCATTACAGACACCAAGAATCCATTCAGGCTTGTCTTTCACTTCTACTTCCCAGTACTGCCTGCCACAGCTATATCCCTTAGAACCCAGGACAGCTGGGAGGAGATAAAATCTTTTGGGTTACGAGGTAAGTTTTGTGTTGTATTTCCATACCGCACAGTTTTTCTATCTTCTGAGACTATAAGTTTACGATGTGCTGTTTCAGGATCTAGAATTACATCTACTTGAAATCGCTTGATGATTTTGTTTAGGCCAGAATACTGTGGAGGCAGATGGTAACCATATTCTTTTAATTTGAATGAAAAAGGTTCAGGGAATTTTAAATTTTTATATCTGTGATAGATATCCTTAACATTAGCCAGTAATTCCAGTTCTGACTTCACATGTATGCTCTCTATCTCCTTTAGGAGATATTTTAATGAGGAGGTATAATCTGAAAATTTTGTTAGGCTTTCATTTAGTTGTGCTAAAATATCCATCTCTTCATCTTGTAATTGCCTAAGAACAGTCTCTTGCTGATTTTGCAGAAATAACCTAAGTTGCTCAAATTCAGACTTGACTTCTTCTGCCCTATGTTTTACCTGTTTCTTCAGTTCCAGTGATTTTCTGGTTTGCATAGTTATGACTTTTTCAATTAGTTCCACTCTCTCCTTCCACGGTGCATTATATTCCTCCAGTTTCTTCCTATGATACGAGGCAGCCTTCTTTATGGGCCAAACACAGTGATGCTGGTGATCAGTGGAGAAACTGCACCTTGGACATAAAAGCTCTAGGTCTTTCTGACAGAAGAAAGTCAAAAGCTGATTATGCTTCTTACACACATGCTTCTCTTCCTGCCTCTTCCTCTTGCTTCTTATCTGGAGTTGCTTAGCAAGTTCAGTCAAACTACCCAGCTGGGGATTGCTTACAAATTTCCTTTCTGGACAGCAAAAGTGGCAAAAGGGGCAGGGGAAACTATCACCTAGATCTTCCAGGACATAATGATGTAGGAGAGACAGAAGTTATGCCCACAGCTGATGGTCACTGGGTCTTTCAAGTAGTCCAGACAGATGGGACAGCTAGCCTCTGCTCAGAGGTCAGCCAGGGCCGCCACAAATTCCACTGAGCCTTGAACAAAGATGGTAGGTAAGATAATTCTTTTAGTTTAGCAAGGCCTAGCTCTCTAGAGCTCATGACCCACAAGGTCTGGGGAAGAAGTGGATATCTTCCCCAGACCTTGAAATCTGGCCAGCTTTCAGTTTTACTGACTTGGCATGTTAATGGCAGCTTCTGGAAACTTGTTAAGCCCTCAATCTGTTCATAACTCCCCATAAGTCAGGACAACATTTTTCACCTTAGCTCACCATTCAGAGCCCTTCATATTTCACTATCTTCATCTGGCTACAGTCCCCTAAAGTACTGGGCCAAAATCATCCAACCAACCAACCTAGGTGCCACACTTTCCCTCTTCACAAACTACTTGCTGCATAGATTACCCCACCCTCACTTCTTTCCTAGGACTAAGTTTTGGTCCTTCTAGAGACTCAGCCCAAGAGAAATGTTCTCTAAGATAATTTATTATATGTCAGGCACTATGCTAAGGATCTAGGATCTTCCACATAGTCACAGGTTCAACTAAACCATCAGAACAACTAAACCATCAGAACAACTCCATAAATTGTTCAACAACTAAACCATCAGAACAACTCCATAAGTTAGGAGCTATTATCCTCAATTAGAGCTGTAAAAGCAGAGTCTACAAGAATTTGAACACGCTTATCCAACATTATGCTATTGGCATAACCACTGGCATGATACTCAATTACTAAGTTGTAGTGCTCCTTCTTTACACTCCCACATCATCCTATGCATCTCTCTATATATCAAATCACCTTACATTTTTCATATTTGATATGTTCAGTTGTTCATATTTAATAACTTACCCCAATTTTTTTTTTTTTTTTTTTTTTAGCTGGAGTTTTTCACTCTTGTCACCCAGGCTGGAGTACAATGGCGCAATCTTGGCACAGTGTAGCCTCTGCCTCCCAGGTTCAAGTGATTCTCCTGCCTCAGGCTCCCAAGTAGCTGGGATTACAGGCATGCACCACCGTGCCTGGCTAATTTTTCTATTTAGTAGAGATGGGGTTTCACCATGTTGGTCAGGCTGGTCTCAAACTCCTGATCTCTGGTGATCCACCCACCTTGGCCTCCCAAAGTGCTGGGATCACAGGTGTGAGCCACTGTGCCTGGCCAACATATCCCAAATATTTTAACGGGTTAAAATGGGCTTATTGATCCAACACTACAACGGTGAAAAAAGAAAAAATACAAATTGACAGATAGCAATACCTAACAGAATTGGGTATTCATCCAATGGTAACACTTAACTAGTTACATGTACTTGGTCAAGTTAATTTCTCTGAGTTTCACTTCTCAGAAAGTAGGAAAAAATACTATATTACGTTTTAAGCATAAATGAATAAATTAAGACACCTGCCACAGTACTTGGCATTTAACACATATACAGTAAAAAGTATTATAGGCTGGGCACGGTGGCTCACACCGGTAATCCCAGCACTTTGGGAGGCCCAGGCAGGTGGATCACCTGAGGTCAGGAGTTCAAGACTAGCCTGGACAACATGGTGAAACCCTGTCTCTACTAAAAATACAAAAATCAGCTGGGCATGGGGGCAGGTGACTGTAATCCCAGCTACTCAGGAGGCGGAGGCAGGAGAATCACTTCAACCTGGGAGGCGGAGGTTGCAGTGAGCTGAGATCATGCCATTGCACTCCAGCCTGGATGACAAGAGTAAAACTGTCTCAAAAATAAAAATAAATAAAAAGTATTATAAGACAATCTCAGAAAATCTCAAGAGCACATACAAATTTAGGTGAATCCATATAATTCTATTATCCCATGTTATATTTTATTACATGAAATACATATATATATAGAGATAGGTATATTTACTTGCATATAAAGCACATTTGGCCAGGCATGTTGGCTCACACCTGTAAGCCCAGCACTTTTGGAGGACAAGGCAGCAGATCACTTGAGGTCAGGAGTTCGAGACCAGCCTGGCCTCATGGTAAAACCCTGTTTCTACTGAAAATACAAAAATTAGCTGGGTATGGGTGTGGTGGCGTACACCTGTAATCCCAGGTACTTGGAAGTCTGAGACAGGAGAATCACTTGAACCCAGGACGTGCAGGTTGCAGTGGGCTGAGATCATGTCACTGCACTCCAACCTGGGCAACAGAGCAAGATTCTGTTTAAAAAAAAAAAACCCAAAGCACATTAATATTTAACCTAAAAGTTGTTATGTCTTATAAGGTTGCTAATCTTCAAATGATTGATAAAGGCAGTAACTTCCAACAGGTTCACTGTAGTAGTGGTGTGCTTCAAAAATTTTCCTATACTAATTCTGGAGTAAGACAGAAATTTCAGGATTTTAAAATATATCCTTTACTTTAAATAGTCAGCCCTCTGTATCAGCAAGTTCAGTATCCACTAACACAATTGACTGTGAATACAATTGAAAATACAGTATTCCTGGGATGCAGAATCTGCATCCATTGGTCTTGAGCATTCATGGATTTTGGTATCTTCAGGGTGCCCTGGAACCAATACCCTGTGTATATCCAAGGATTAGAGTACATTTAACTTGTGAAAAATTTGAACACAGAACTACAGAAAATAAGGACAATGACTGGGCATGGTGGCTCACAATTGTCATCCCAAAACTTTGGGAGGCAAGGTGGGCAGATCCCTTGAGCCCAGGAGTTCGAGGCCAGTCTGAGCAAAATGGCAAAATCTCATCTCAACGAAAGGGAAGGGGAAGGGGAAGGGGAAAGAAAGGGGAAAGGAAAGGAAAAAAAAAAAAAGGAAAAAGGAAAGGAAAGGAAAAGAATAAAAATTCTTTTAAAAGAATAAAAGACAGGAGAAAGAAAGAAAATAAAGAATACTGTCTCTTATAAACCGCTCTTCCCACCATCCCACACTAAGCGAGGATATGGTAACTCCCAATTCTTAACACTTTTTTTTTTCCCCACACGGAGTCCCACTCTGTCTTCCAGGCTGAGGGGTAGTGGCACGATCTTGCCTCACTGTAACCTCCACCTCCTGGATTCAAGTGATTCTCCTGCCTCAGCCTCCCGAGTAGCTGGGATTACAGGCATGTGCCACTACACCTGGCTAAGTTTTGTATTTCTAGTAGAGGTGGAAAGGTTTCGCCATGTTGGCCAGGCTAGTCTTGAACTCCTGGCTTCAGGTGATCTACCCACCTCGGCCTCCCAAAGTGCTGGGATTACAGGTCTGAGCCACCGCACCTGGCCTGCTAAATACTTTCAAATGGGTACTTTTGAGCAGAGCAAGAAAGACAGAAAGTGCATGGGAATAGGGGTGAGGTTGCATAGGGTGTTCAGTGTCAGGCCTCTGAGCCCAACCTAAGCCATCATATCCCCAGTAACCTGCACGTATACATCCACATGGCCTGAAGCAACCGAAGAGCCACAGAAGTAAAAATAGTGCTTAACTGATGACATTCCACCATTGTGATTTGTTTCTACCCTACCCTAACTGATCAATGTTCTTTATAATCTCCCCCACCCTTGAGAAGTTTCTTTGTAATTCTCCCCACCCTTGAGAATGTACTTTGTGAGATCCACCCCCTCCCCCAGAACATTGCTCTTAACTCCACCGCCTATACCAAAACCTATAAGAACTCATGATAATCCCATTACCTTTGCTGACTCCTTTTTCGGACTCAGCCCACCTGCACCTAGGTGAAATAAACAGCCATGTTGCTCACACAAAGCCTGTTTGGTGATCTCTTCACACGGACGTGTGAAACACTCAGAGACTGGAAAAAACTGAGGCTGAAGAAATTTTAAGAATCTTGCCCAATGTCAACAGTTAGTAAACTGCAGAGCATCATTACAAAAAATTGTCAAATCAGAAGAAAAAATATATTTTTAAGAAAACATGTATAAAAAAGGACTCTAGCACGGGGCAAAGGACACGACAGGTATTCACTCCAGGTATCATTGTGCCCTCCTTTCCCCAAGCATACACACAAATCAGTCTTCTCTACTATTTAAAATCAGGACATTAAGTGAACACAACAGCTCTGCAGGCATGGTCACCACGCTCGTTTAAACCACTATGTCTCTCTCCTAGATACACAATGGTGCCTCCAATTTCTTAAGTCTGTAGCTAAACTGATCTTCTCAAATACAAATAGAATCCTTTCATCTTCCAAGTGAAAACATTCCACTGGTCTTTTATTACTTTATGGAGGCAGTTCTCAAATCTTACCTTGCATTATAATAACGTGGAGGTCTTGGTATAAGATTGCTTGGGCCACATCTCCAGCTTCTGATTCAGTAGGGCTGTTTTTTCCCTAAGTTCCCAGATGATGACGCTGGCCTGCGAACTGTACTTTGTGAACCTACGCTTTAAGGAAAACAAAGCAAAAAGATCCATTAAGATCTAGTTCGAGTTTTTTGCCTAGCTCCCCATCATGTCATATATCACCGTTATAATGTGATTTTACAGCTACTCTGCAATTCTTTACCTAACGTGTAAAAATCCCTCATCAGGCAGCAAGCTTATTGGTGGGAATATGTCTCTAGCTTGTTTAAGGAATAAATAAAACCTGTGGTAGATTCCAAGCTCTCAGTTTCAACCGTTATCATACTGGCTGACTGTTAACATGCCTGCACCTAATGCGCCTCATCTACAAAGTAGAAGTAATAATTCCTACCTGTAAGACCCTTGTGAGGATTAACGGATGCTTACATAGGTCAAGGGTGCAGGCGATGTAGGCTGGTGGGTTCTCAACTGGCAGCTACCACTTCACTCCCTTAACTCCCGAAACCCCACTCCCAAACACGTACATTAACTCTTTGAAGAAACATGGCCACTTCATAAACCCTAACTTGGATCGTAACATTGAAAGCTTGATTGATGCAGGCCCACCACCCCCATTCTAACGCTACAATCTTGAATTTCTCACAAAAGCCTCGCCAGAGAATAAGGAGATCCAGTCGTGGGCAGGCAGCGACTCGGAGGTCTGGGCACAGAGAATGTTCAGGAAGCCCCTGCCCAGTTAAGCCTCCTGTCGAGACCCTTCTGGGCCTTTCCTCCGGCTTTCTCAGCTCACCTGAAGCACACAGATCGGTAACCCTGGCCACAGGATAGACAGGAGCCACCTAGCCGGCGAGGAAGTACTCAAACCCCAATCCCACCAAGTTCGCGGCTTCCTGCCTGGGGCTCAGCCCGCGCGGTGATTGGCGCTTCCTCCGGAAGTGGGTGGGAAGGCTCTGCGCATGCTCTGTGACCCCGGATGCAGGGACCGTGTGAAGACTATGAGAGCTGGGGGTGCCCTCCTCTGTGATGAGGGCCCAGTTGACCCCAACTAACATTTAATTCCCCTGGCTATCTTTTCAGATTTTTTTTTTTGAGACGAGTGTAGCTCTGTCACCCAGGCTGGAGTGCAGTGGCGCGATCTCGGCTCACTGCAAGCTCCGCCTCCCGGGTTCACGCCATTCTCCTGCCTCAGCCTCCCAAGCAGCTGGGACTACAGGCGCCCGCCACCACGCCAGGCCAATTTTTTTTGCATTTTTAGTAGAGAAGGGGTTTCACTGTGTTAGCCAGGATGGTCTCGATCTCCTGACCTCGTGATCCGCCCACCTCGGCCTCCCAAAGTGCTGGGATTACAGGCATGAGCCACTGCACCCGGCAGATCTTTTCAGATTCTTATAATTTTTGATCAAACTTGAGGGTCCAAGTAAGTCGTATCATTTTTGATCAAACTTGAGGGTCCCAGTAAGTCTGCAAGTTGATTTTAAAAGCTTCACCAGCACAGCATCCCCTCCCAGATGGTGAGAGAGTGGAGAGCTTTGCAGGGTCAACTGCTTCCCATAGCCTGGGGTCACAGGGTGGAGTCCTTGAGCATCCTTTACCCTTGAAAGAGGAACAAACTCCCCTTTGGATTAGTTTGCATCTCAGTGGATGAGTGGGTACATCTAGCGTGCCCTGTGGTATTGTGCCCCACCCTATGAACTCAGGTTCACCTGAGGAAGTGACGTCAGGCAGAATTTGAGGGATGAAGAGGCATTCGTTGGATCAATTCCACCGTTAGAGTTCAAGGCTGAAGGAAGAGCTAATGTGGAGCCTCTCAACTTTAAAGAATTTAGCATGGTGGCTCACACCTGTAATCCAAGCACCTTCTGAGGCAGAGGTAGGAGGATCACTTGAGGGCAGGAGTTCAGGACAATCCTGGGTAACATAGCCAGGCCTTGCCTCTACAGATGATGATTTTTAAAAACTTGGTACAAGAGGAACTGAAAGAGGCCATTTGGCTGGCACTAAAACATAGGGAGGTGTAAGAAGTAGAAAAGATGGAAAATAGCTTTTGTGAGGCTGATGAGATGGGCGAGAATGAATGCTGCAAGGCCCTTTAGGCAAAGTTGAGGATTTTTGCTTTTATCAAATGCAAAGGAAAGCCGGTCAAGCATTTTAAACATGACGTAATAATAATTTGAATTGCGAAATAATGACTTTACAATTCGGGAAAAAGACCTGTTGATGCCTTTAATAGATCCTAGAAAGGGTGTGTGGTGGGCAGTTAAATAGAGGTGTGACCTAGACAATCAACAGATGAAGTCTAGTTCCTAAACTTTTGAAATTCCAGTGGCTCCTGAAAAAGGAAGAAAAAGAAATACCAGTAGCAGCAGCTTCCCCCATATTACTTTGTGGTGGGGTGGGTGCATGGTATGTATGTATGTATGTATGTATGTATGTATGTATGTATGTTTGTATTTATTTATGCCCAGGCTGGAGTGCAGTGGCGCCATCTTCGCTCACTGCAACCTCTGCCTCCTGGGTTCAGCCTCCCGGGTTCAAGTGATTCTTCCGCCTCAGCTTCCCAAGTAGCTGGGATTACAGGCCCACACCATCATGCCCAGCTAATTTTTTGTGTTTTCAGTACAGACGGGTGTTTCACTGTGTTGGACAGGCTGATCTCGAACACCTGGGTTCAAGCAATCCACCCATCTCAGGTTCCCAAAGTGCTGGGATTACTTACAGATGTGAGCCACCATGCCCAACATGTATATTATAGTATTTAAACTGAAACTGTGCACCCGGGCATGGTGATTTCTTTCCCCGTCACAGTACATGGCGTTACCAATTACTTAAGATTGCTGGGCACGGTGCTCATGCGTGTAATCCCAGCACTTTGAGAGGCCGAGGTGGGCAGATCATGAGGTTAGGAGATCAAGACCATCCTGGCTAACACGGTGAAACCTCATCTGTACTAAAAATACAAAAAATTAGCCAGGTGTGGTGGTGGGCACCTGTAGTCCCAGCTACTCGGGAGGCTGAGTCAGAAGAATGGAGTGAAACCGGGAGGCGAAGCTTGCAGTGAGCCGAGATCATGCCACTGCACTCCAGCCTGGGTGACAGAGTAAGACCCCGTCTCAAAAAGAAAAATTAAGATACTTAAAAGATTATAAATCATTCTACTATAGACACATACATATGTTTATTGCAGCACTATTTACAATAGCAAAGACTTGGAACCAACCCAAATGCCAGTCAATGACAGACTAGATAAAGAAAATGTGGCACATATACACCATGGAATACTATGCAGCCATAAAAATGAATGAGATCATGTCCTTTGCAGGGACATGGATGAAGCTGGAAGCCATCATTCTCAGCAAACTAACACAGGAATGGAAAACCAAACGCTGTGTGTGTTCTCACTCATAAGTGGGAGTTGAACAGTGAGAACACATGGACAAAGGGAGGGAAACAACACACATCAGGGTCTGTTGGGGGGTAGGGGGTGTGGGGAGGAATAGCATTAGGTCAAATACCTAATGCATGCTGGTCTTAAAACCCAGATGACGGGTTGATAGGTGCAGCAAACCACCATGGCACATGTATACCTATGTAACAAACCTGTACGTTCTACTTACGTATCCTGGAACATAAAGTAAAACTAAAAAAAAAACCAAAAAACAAAAACATCACTCAAGAGGCCAGGCATGGTGGCTCACGCCTATAATCCCAGCACTTTGGGAGGCCAAATCACTTGAGGTCAGAAGTTCCAGACCAGCCTGACCAACATGGTGAAATCCTATCTCTACTAAAAATACAAAAATTAGCCAGGCCTGGTGGTTGGTGCCTGTAATCCCAGCTACTCACTCAGGAGACTGAAGCAGGAGAATCACTTGAACCCAGGAGGCAGAGTTTACAATGAGCTGCTATGGCGCCACTGCACTCTAGCCTGGGTGACAGAGAGACTCTGTCTCAAAAAAAAAAAAAAAAAATTACTTAAGATAGAAAGAAACCCTATCAGCTGGGCGTGGTGGCTCATGCCTGTAACCCTAGCACTTTGGGAGGCCGAGGCAGGCGGATCACCTGAGATCAGGAGTTCGAGACCAGCATGGCCAACATGATGAAACCCCGTTTCTACTAAAAATACAAAAATTGGCTGGGCGCGGTGGCGGGCGCCTGTACTCCCAGCTACTGGGGAGCCTGAGGCAGGAGAATCACTTGAATCCGGGAGGCAGAGGTTGCAGTGAACCTAGATGGCGCCACTGCTTTTGTTTTTTGTTTTTGTTGTTGTGGTTGTTTTGTTTTTGAGACAGAGTCTCACCCTGTTGCTAGGTTGGAGTGCAATGATGCGATCTCAGCTCACTGCAACCTCTACCTCCCGGGTTCAAACGGTTCTCCTGCCTCACAGCCTCCCGAGCAGCTGGGATTACAGGCATATGCCACCATGCCCAGGTTTTTTGTTTGTTTGTTTGTTTTGTTTTTTGTTTGTTTGTTTTTCAGTAGAGACAGAGGTTTTACCGTGTTGGTCAGGCTGGTCTTGAACTCTTGACCTTGTGATCCACCTGCCTTGGCCTCCCAAAGTGCTGGGATTACAGGCGTGAGCCACTGTGCCCGGCCAAGATGGCACCATCTGTACTCCAGCCTGGGTGACAGAGCAAGACTTTGTCTCAAAAAAAAAAAAAAAAAAAGGTGAGAACCCCATCAATATGGCACTGAATCCTCCTGCAAGGCTGACCACCCCTCATAGGGTACAGTGTAATTTAACAGGATGGGGCCCACCTGCTACATGCTAATTAACCTGAAGCAATGTGATTCATTTAATTATTCTTCTGGACCAATTGCTCTTAAGAATTATGTTCTTCCCTACAAAAAGAGGTCAGAAGCAATCTGGCTTTCACCCATACTCCTTCACTGAGACTGTTCCAAGTTTATCAATTATCTAGTTTTTCAGCCAAGGAATATTTTTCATGCCTGTTACATTCTAAGATGCTTTGTAGCCTTGCTCTGTGTCTGTTCAATCTGGATTTAGCAGATTACTCTTCCTCTTCCTGTCCATATATATATGTAAAGTTCTGGAAGGACATATGACAGACTTTTTACAGGTAGTCTGAAATATGTACGTTTGTGTATATATGTGTGCATACACATATGTGTGTCTGTGTACTTGTGCAGGTTAGAGGAAGAAAATAAAGAGTGGTGGTGAAGGCTTAACTTTAAACCAGGCTTCCAGGAGTTCAAATCCATGCTCTGTCATCTTCTACCTTGTGTGACCTTAGCAGGTTATCTTTTTCTGCCTTTCTCATCTAGTTAAAAAAAAGAAGGGATGGGGCAAAAATAGTTCAACTTACTTCTTAGATTTGTTGAGTACTAAATGAATTTTCATGAGTGAAAGCACATTGAACAGTGACTGGTGTGGTAAACGTAGTGTAAAATACACATAAAACATATTTTGTTAACATAAATACATACCAATTGTTTATAAATTCTAAAAAATTTTTCTGTTTCTCTCTGAGGGCGGAAGTAAGATTACAGAGGGAGGATATTTGTGTACCATTTTGCTCTGTATCATTTTGAGCATTTTTTAAAGTATCAAAATGTATTTTCTATTTGAAAGTAATTTTTGAAAGAAAAAAAAATCAAGTTTTTTTGATGCAATTATTTTTAGAATAGATTGAAATATTCTGCTTAAATATGGTGCTAAACAAAAGGAAAAGGAAGAGCTGTGTGTGTGTGTATGTATGTGTGTGTGTGTGTGTGTGTGTTTTTAATTGAGACAGAGTCTCACCCTGTCGCCCAGGCTGGAGTGCAATGGTGTGATCTTGGCTCACTGCAACCTCTGCCTCCCGGGTTCAGGCAATTCTGCCTCAGCCTCCTGAGTAGCTGGGATTACAGGTGTGTGCCACCTCGCCTGGCTAATTTTTTGTATCTTTAGTAGAGATGAGGTTTTACCATGTTGGCCAGGCTGGTCTCGAACTCCTGACCTCGTGATCTGCCCACCTCGGCTCCCAAAGTGCTGGGATTACAGGTGTGAGACACCGTGCCTGGCTAGAAGAGCTGTTTTATGTAGATACTTTTTCTTTTTAAAAAGCGGTTAAAGCTGCCAGGTGAGATGGCTCATGCCTGTAATCCCAGCACTTTGGGAGGCCGAGGTGGCAGGATCGCTTGAGCTGAGGGTTTTGAGATCAGCCTGGGAACATCTCGAAACCTCATTTCATAAATATATATATATATACACACACACACAGAAGGTTTTTAAAAAAGAAAAAAGTGTTAAAACAATAATGTTTACGTTTCCTTAAAAGGGAGGGAAGGAAAGTTGAAAGGGATCGAATCCAAACTTTGTTGAATTAAGTGTGAGTCATTGACAGAGAAGTACACGGGTCTATGGCTAAACTATAATGATCACTATGCTGATGTGCCTCGTAGAGAAGTTATAAGTCTGTGTCCCAGAAAATAGCCTCCAATTTTTTAGTTGCAGGTCGCAAGACTATATTTTGTTCCATTACAAAATGTGTGACTTTAATAAATAATTTAAAGCTCCCTCTTACATCTTAGAGCTTAAGCCCACAACTTGGCAGCCACTTGGATTGGTATTCCAAGTCTACCATTATACTAACATGTGTGATTTTAGGTGACTTTTTATTTTTTATTTTTTTAAGAGACAGGGTCTCATTCTCTTGCCCAGGCTGGAGTGCAGTTGCACAATCATAGCTCACTGCAGCCTGAATAACTACACCCAGACCATCCTCCTGCCTTACCCTCCCAGACAGCTAAGACTATAGGCATGGGCCACCATGCCTGGCTAATTTTTTTTTTTTTTTTTGGTAGAGATTGGGGGCATCTCGCTATGTTGACTAACCTGGTTTTGAACTCATGGCCTCAAGCAGTCCTCTC